TTTACCACTTAAATTAGAAAAAAAAATTTAATTATTATTCATATAAATTATTAAAATTTTATCTAAAATTTATATTTGAAAAGTTAAAAAATTAAACCATGAGTACTAAACGAAGGGAGTATTACCAAAGAAGAAAAATGTCCATTGCCTTTACGTGATATCTTGTACCGAGTTCTATCAGTGTCCTTGGTGGGGAAAAACTACTTCAGCATTGATATTTTCGTCTAAGGAATTCTAATACCGAAGGAAGAAAGGAAAACAAAGGGAAGGCAAAGGAGCAGCCTTCACTCACGATTTAGTTCTTTGCCATCCATGGGAAGAGTTTGCATAATCAGAGCGCGTTTTCTAATGACATGAAAAGTCGAAAAGATGGTGAGTCATATTGATATCTCTGGTCCTTATGATTTTTGCATGGAGTGATATAATTATTTCAAGTGTGGGGTCTAATGGTATGTTTGGATTGATGGGTTTGGGGAAAAGGGAAAGGAAAAGAGAAGAAAATTCTTTCCTTTGTCTTTCTCTTGTTTGTATGGGTTAGAAGGGAAACAGAATGGTGGTGAACTGTGAACCTCATTTAGACATATTAAGATAAAAATGGAAATCTGTCACTTCCCTTTTGGCCTGGCATTTAATCAAGCACTTGTTTTGATAAAATATTGGGTTCAGATAGAAAATTGCAGTGAAACAAGGCTATAAAAGGGTAGCAATCAACAAAAACACATGAAGATTTGCCATTCCTGGCAGTGTGGATTGTGGTTATGAAAAGGCTACATGATCTCTGAATTTGATTTGTGTGTGCTTTACTAGACATAATCACCACTGCATATCTACCACGAATGATTGGCTAAAAATACGGTAAACTTGCTTGCGGTGGAAACTAGTACTTATTGATTCACTTCCAATCTGGTACCCTCACTTCCGTACCCTTGTGAGTTCATTGTTCTTATGGCATGTCAGTTATTAGATTATTGTACCTTTGCGAGTTCTTTCTTCTTATGGTATGTGAGTTACTAGATTATTGCTTTTATTGCATTGAATCTCAGTCAATGTCCTCTTAAGAAACAAAACTTGTATGTGCTGTGGAAGAGAAAAATGCATGTTTTGTTAATTTGTACTTGTTTCTGTTCCAGTAATTTCATTTGGCTGAATTTTGTTTTTGGTTTTTACTCACTTTTGTTTCCTTATCTGAAATTCTGAGATCATGGTTGCAGATTAATTTGTGTTTGGATGAAGAAGAGAAGAGGAGGAAAAGGTGAGGAAAAATGGGGTCACTGGATTATAGTCATCTGAACAACAGTAAAGAAAGGCTGCTTCCACTTAGCAGCTTCAGGGGAGGTGAAGATGCAGGAAGCAAATTCATCTTCTTCAACGTGATTGATAAAAAGTTCAAGAATGCTTGCAAGTATTTACAAGATTTTGTTGAGGAAGTATGGAAAATGGGCCGTTCAGATCCTCGGAAAGTCATATTTGCAATGAAGATGGGACTTGCATTGGCAATTGTGTCTTTGCTCATATTTTGGAAAGGGCCTTATGAGAATGTTGCTCAATACTCTATCTGGGCAATACTCACAGTGATTGTAGTGTTTGAATTTAGCATAGGTACTCTAATCACAATTACTTGATTGAACTTTTATATGTTTTTTTTTTTTTCAGTTTTTGTGGTGTGTATTAACTTGCATTTCAGTAATTTCCCAGGCATTGAACCATTTGACTGTTCTTTTAAGCAGGAGCAACCTTTATCAAAGGATTTAATCGAGGTTTGGGAACCCTTTGTGCTGCCATACTTGCAGTTTGCTTTTCTGAACTGTCTTTGCTGGTTGGAAAATGGGAGGAAGTTGTCATTGTTATCAGCATTTTCTTAATGGGTAAGTGTTTAACTGGTTGACATAATCATTTCCTTGACTTAGTTTCCCACTCTTTAGAACTATAGTCTTTCTTGTTGTCAGGATTCTGCTCATCCTATTTGAAGCTGCACCCAACAATGACGCCATATGAGTATGGATTCCGAGTATTCATATTGACATACTGTATCCTTATGGTAGCTGGGAATAGAACTAGGGAATACAAGGAAGCAATTATAACTCGATTAGCACTAATTGCAGCAGGTGCTGGTGTCTGTTTTCTTGTAAATATTTTTATTTATCCAATTTGGGCGGGGGAGGCTCTGCATGGCTTGGTGGTGAAAAATTTCAAGGACCTTGCCACCTCATTAGAAGGTTGGTTTAACTTTATCTGGTTATTTTACCATCTTCATTGCTGAACTATTTTTATGTTCTTAGTTCTCAAATCTTTCTTTTTCAGGTTGTGTTAATGGGTATTTGAAATGTGTTGAATATGAGAGGATACCCTCAAAAATACTCACCTACCAGGCTTCTGATGACCCACTTTATAATAGTTATAGATCAGTTGTGGAATCTACTAGCCGAGAAGACACATTGGTATGCCTAATCTCATGTATTCAATTCTGCAAATAATGATTTTTGACCAAGAAAAATGTAATTGATTGCCTGTTTTGACTACTTATGTTTCAGTTAGGCTTTGCTATTTGGGAACCACCTCATGGTCGTTATAGAAGGTTTAATTATCCTTGGAAAAGCTACATCACAGTAAGTGGTGCATTGAGACACTGTGCGTTCATGGTCATGGCACTCCATGGGTGCATCCTTTCTGAAATCCAGGTGACTACTGTTCCAATAAAAATCTATAACCCCAATATGCATGGCAAGCATTTGTTAATGATGCCATAACTCTGTACATGTAGGCTTCCCCAGAAACAAGACAGGTATTTAGTACTGAACTCCGGAATGTTGGAGCAGAAGGTGCAAAAGTCTTGCGTGAGCTCGGAAGCAAACTAGAGAAGATGGAAAAATTAAGCCCTGGTGACATACTCAAAGAAGTCCATGAGGCAGCTGATCAGTTGCAAGAGAAGATAGACAGAAGATCATATTTGCTAGTAAATTCAGCGAGATGGGAAATTGGGAGACTGAACAAGGAATTGAAAGAGCTAGAGGATAAGGAGAATAAGCAATTGGGGTTCAAGTCCCTGAGTGGAACCTTACTTGACCTGAGGTCAGATCCTGTATTGACACCTCCACTACCAATTGATGCCTCAAAAACCATGTTTACCAAGCAAGTGTCATCGCCAGCACAAATCTCATTGAATGTGGACTCATGCCTTAAGGGAGATGAATGCAGAACATATGAAAGCGCCAGAGCCTTGTCTCTTGCAACATTTGCTTCACTTTTGATCGAATTTGTTGCAAGACTGCAGAACATAGTTGATTCTTTTGAAGAATTAAGTGAGAAAGCAGACTTTAAGGGGCCTAACATCAGCAGAATACCAACTGCTAAAAAGAGGTTTGGGGCTTAAATGGCACTACTTAGGAGCTTTGCATTCAATTTTTTGCAAAGTATTCATCTCAGACTTTATATATGGTTAGCAAATAATAAGAATTTGTCTAATAACACTAATAAAAATATTAACATAAGAATTGAATGAAAAGATGTAATCGAATTTCCTCACCATTAGAAACTTATCTTTCTACCCCCTGGAAATGTATGAGCAACAAGAAGAAGTTATTTATTGACTTTTTTTTGGTTTTTTTCATCAGTAGAATATTCAAATTCACTCACAAAGTTTTTAACTTAGACGAATTATCTCAAATTTAACATATGATGTCATCTAACATCAGTAATCTGTTAATTTGACGTCATTTAACATTAGCAATCTGTTAACAAATTAATAGATTATTGATATTAGATGATATCACATATTAAATTTGAAGTGATTTATCCAAGTCAAAAATTTTATAAGTAGATTTGTTTATATTTTTTATTTGAGGATGAATTTATCCATATCACTATACTTTAGGGTGAATTTAAGTATTTTACCTTTTTCATCCAACTCTAATAACCACTCACATGATGTTTCATTATCTTCCTTGCTAGCTAGGTGGCTCCACACAGGACTCATGTCAAAGTCCACCAAACTTCTTGTACTATGTGTATAAACCATAGAGCAGTGACTATGACGATGCATTTAGTGCTTTGGCACTTATTGATGAAGTATGATTGAGAAAACCCGTGAATAAGACCACACTGAATGCATCATGCAATTGAATGATCCCTGTGGCTATACTGGACCGCTTGCTTTTAAGGGCCACTATAATGAAACCTAGCTAGGTAGAGATCCAACTTATCACTGAAGTTGCTTCTTTTTAGTTAGAGCTTATCCGAAGTGAGCAACACAAGTGGGTCCAAAATCTCAGGGTACGATTTTTTTGCTCCCATGACTTTTTCTTTTTCTAACTGACAATGGAAGATATTTATTTCAGATCAAAAAAATTTGAATTTAACTTTAATTTTAAATTAAAATTTTTATACTAATAGATAAAAACATTCGTAATATTTTTAAGATATAGTCATAATCATTAATAATAATATTATGATTATTAAAATTATAAAATATTATTTTTAAAATATTACTTTTATTTAATTTTTTTATAAGAAAAAAAATTGCATTCATAATATAATTTCTTAAACAACTTGCATAAAAAGATTTTCACAAGAGAAAACAGATCATAGAAGTGTTTATATCTAGTTTCACTTAAATCCTTACGAGATTTCTACATAATATAAGAAAACAATAAAACCCTTATGTAATCCCTAAAAATATAAATTTTGATAACTAATTGAAGAGGCTACTTGAAAAGTTTGACATTTTGTTGTGTCACGTTTTTTCAGATTTATTAGAAAAATGTTTGTAATTTTTTTAATCTTAATTACATAATAAAATAATAATTTTTTATTTTTTTATCTCATTTTATTCACATGTCATATAATTCGTACTCATATCTTTTATTTTTTATAAAAAAAATTACTACTAAATTATTTAAATTATTGATTGTTTGCAAATTTAATATCACAGAGAACCAATAAACATGATACCTCTTATAAATTAATCAGTTGCAACCAAACCTCCGTTTAAAAACATAAGGAGGATAAAAATTCTTATTAAAAATTGAAAGAAAAAAAGAATATCTGAAAGAAGAATGACTACACAAATCTCATTTGATTAATTTTAATTGTAATTATTAATTAACAATTAATAAAACAGTTGATATTAATTAATTAATAAATTAAAGTCAATAACCAAATTTATATTTTTAAATACTATTTAAAAAAATCAAAATTATTATCACCTTAACCATATTAAAGGTGGCAATCACAATCCCATATTTTTATTAGT